ATGAATAGCAACATGTGAAGTACTATTTGGTTGTTCCTATTTCCTAATGTGGCAGATATGACTCTGTTTTTATTCAAGGTTCTTAAAGACAATGTGAAGAAGTTGGAGCAAATTGTGTAAGAAGACCCAATACTTGCCAGGACAACTCTGCAAATTACCATGAGTCTTTACAGGCTCCAAGTAGCCATTAATTTTCATGATACAGAAGTGTGTTGTGATTATGGGCTTTGGAAATATATAGAGAGATGCAAAATAGTGTTTGAACTCTCCTGCTGGCTGGGAAAGATTTTTTTACATTGAGGACTAGCAAAATATTTCACAAAATGCCTTCATGCATCATGCTTCTAAAGGAGTTCTTGTAGTCATCAGCCCCATAAAAACTTTCCTCACATTCCTGAGGTTGCATGGGACTGCAAAAGGTGAGGGATGATAGCTTTGGCATCAGATAGTTTTCACGTGCCTTTGCTATTCCATTCTGTGTGCTTCTCTGTTAGCTGGATAGTGGATTAGTTGAGAATTTCATTAATTTTGTGAAAACTGGAAACCAAAAGCTGCTTTGTTCACCTCAAAGCCTGAGATCACTGCAGACTGTTACTGAATGTACTAAATATTGCTCCTACAGCTGGACCTGCTATTGCCACACTGTGCTACAAGTCCTCTGACCACCTCCTCTTTTGCACAGGAAGCAATACCTATCCTTTACCTGACTTATAAAAATGTAAAGAATCTCCTTGTTGTTTTGGCATGGGTGGTGCGTTTAGCAGTAATGGAAGTAAAGGGTGTTCTGCCTGAGACAGTTACTTTTTCCAGAGAAGAGGACATCTTTACTTTATGTAGGTTTGAATAAAGTCCTCGACTGTGTAAGCTATCTCACGTTTACAACGGTGATGCTTGCTAGTTTTGTTCCTTCCTTGCAGGAATGGTTTTAAGATTTCACTTTGTAGAGCCTTTATTGCCCACTGAATGTGCCTTATATTTCCAGCTAAATTCATGCCAGTTGAAGGGATTGGAGGCTAGGACAGTGAATATTCATTAATCTCCAGTGAAGAGTAGTGTCTGTTTTCCTGAAAGGTACATCTTCATGGGCAGCTGTCTTGATCAAAGAAAGATTTCAGCAAGGCATGTCTACAGAGGGTGACTTCTCATTTGGTAGGTCTGATAGGGAATGCCATCACTTTTGCTATAGCAAGAGGTAGAATTAAGAGGTGTATGGAATATGGCTAGGGGTAGCATATCCAAGTAGTTAGGGCCAAGACTCTTGAGTTAAACACGCTGGGAGGCAGAATTGGAACCATGGGATTAAATCAGCAGACTTAAGTTAGTCAGACTCAAGGCTGGCATGAGGAACTTCAGGCATAATATTTTGAAGGATCAGGCAGGAAACAAATGCTTGAGCTGCCCTCCAGTCTCCTGGAAAACTACCTTCATTTCCAGGAGAAAAGTAGTGACATGTGCCAGATGTACGCGAGACTCTGCATTAGTAAATTAACAGGGCTATAACACTCAGGCTTGTGCTGCCTTCTTTAATTGCCTGACATGCATATAGAATGCCAAATGTTGTTCTCTAAAGGAAACTGAATGCAGATTATGCTTTGCAGCTCTTTGCACTATTGGTTAGCTGGTACCTATCACGCTGAACATCAGGAACTCAGTCCACAAGAGGTGAAGGGGCTGCTACTTGTGTAGTTCAGGTGCATGCCAGTGAAAGTCTGCAAAGTTGTGACAGTGGAGTAAGCTGTTGACCTTTTTCTAGCATCGTGTCTTGGACTTGTCATTCTTCTTTCTGAGACCTCATTTGCAATAGCTTTTGAATTGGAAATAATTGGAAAGGACTGTGGCTGCTTTTATCTTTTATGCCCTTACACAGGGACAAACAAACCTTTTTAAAAAAGGAACAATCCACCACCACTACACCACATGGATGTATTGTAGCAATGGTTTAACAACCACAGTTAAAGTAGATGCACATGTGCATGTCTACACATACACCCACCCACACACACCTGTATTCTTGGAACTGAGTGGCTGAGGATAAAGCTAGACTATATAGCTGTGGTGTAAAGCACAATGTGATTCCCACTGCAGGAGCGAATTGACTGGGATCTTCTCCCTGCAGTTCAGGTGTTACCATCCGTTCAATGATGATTTGTTCTTGGCCATCTTTGGAGCACAGAAACAAAACAGGAAGTAGTCAATGTAACTTCAGTAGTTAATCCCCATGTCCCCCTTCACACCCTACACCTTCACACCCCCTCTCCCCTCCCAAGCCTAAAGCAAAAAGACCCTGGTTTTATTGCAGTATTTGTTAGGTTCCATTATTATATCCATTGCTAGAGGACGAATGAAGGCTAATGAAAACTTCTGACAAGTTCTTTGAGTGTCTTATCTCTTCCCCTCCTTCTACACACTAACCTGACTAGGCTGTTGGCTGCTGAGCTGCAGAAAGAAGATTTACTCTATTAGGTAAAGTATTGGTTTGATTTCAATCCCCACCTGGTTTTTGTTCCACTGTGTCCCATCTTCCCCATTCTTCCCCTTTTCCCTCATTTTTAGTAAAAGTAACATGCTCACTACATGGTAAATTTCTTACCCTCAGTCCTTGTTAATTTTTTATGATATCCTGACCTCTTGTCTTTATCATCCTACCTATTGGAGCACAGATACCCAAATTTCCTTGGGATTCTCTTGGCTTCAGGTCATCTTCCCCAGCTGCACATACCACACTGAGCTGGAGGTGAAAACAGCTAAAAGCCAGCTCCATTCTGTGAGAAGAATACTGCAGTTTATGGGATACGCATTAGTTCACATAACCCTTCTCCTGACTCTTTATTCTTTCTTGAATAGGGAAACCTAGCATCTGCTTGCTATCTCTTCTTTCAGGGTGGTTTCTACCAGAAATGTTTTGATACTAATGTAATCTGGAATCAGTGATGGCTGGACTTGTATAGACCCTTGTGAGGGATTTTGAACAGGTCATTTATCACTGTGACACACTTGATTTACTTCTCTTTTGCTCATCTGTACAGTGACAAAAGAGCTAATGATTAAACTTGAGTTTGTCGTGGAGGTATTGACTTGCATCTTGTCCCTGGAACACCCTTTGCTAGAACTATAGATACTGGCTATAGATTTTCTGCAAGGCTGCATGTAAATCCTGCAGTGCAGCGAGCAGTACAGTGCACAGTTGAAGGTTTTTTTGGTGACCGGTAGCCTGGTCTGCTTTCATACCATCTCACCTCCCTCCCTGGAGACACATGGTAAATGATGTTTTCAGACCCAGACTCAAGTGAAGACAAGTCTTTCTTTGGTTTTAGCGATAGCGACAGGCAGCTTTTTAAGTAATTGCCTTACCAAAGTTCAATTGGTAATCAGAGGGGGTTGAGACAGAGTGCTGAGTTTGCTTTTCTCCATTTGGAGAGTTTTTCAGATGTCTCTTCTGTTCTCAATAAAGATGGTACTTGCTGATTCAGGTATGCTGAGAGCGAGTTCGGTTCACCAGTGTGTTCCAGCTGCTTTGCAGTGCTCTGCAAATGCAAACCAGCTGCAGGCCTGGCTTAACTCAAGCCAGGTTTGTGGCTGGTTTGCATCACTGGAGCAGTGTAAAGTACCTGAAGCATGCCAGCTAATCTAGCCTATTGGTGAACCTTTATAAATCACTTGTTTTTCTTCATGTTCTTTACATGTAACTTTATTTATAGTTAAAACCCATAGAAATTGTGTAGATTGTATTGCTAAGGCAGACTTGTGTTCTAAACTGAAATCTATAAAATTAGAGGTTTTTTTTAAGCCAGAACTTTTTCTTCTTAACGGAAATAAAATTATCAAATTACACACTGATCCTCTGCACTTCTCTGTTATGGATTTCTTTTAAGATACCTGTTCTTATAATAAGATGAAATAATAAGTCTGAGATCTAAAAGAGTAGGCATTATAAGTTTTATTTTGCAAAATGTGGGCTCAGCTTTTATTCTAAATGCAATACATTTTCTCTAGTTTGAGAATGTATGCAATATTTGTGTCATTATCAGTATTGTCTGTAATTTACTGATTAAAAAATACTTTGGAGATTTTGAGAGAGGGAGGAAATTGGTCAACCATGACTTTTTTTCTCTGTTTATAGTAAATTATATAACTGAAATCATATTTACCTACCTTCAATAGCATGATGAGTGTTCAAAACATGCAAAAAATATTAATCATTAATTATATTAGTCCATGTATAATAATTTTTTTCATAATCTATGTCTGTGAGGCTTTCATAGTGTTGAATATGTGATATGTGTTTTTAAACAGTATTATACAACAGAAGAATGACAGAAGTATCATTACAACTACTCTAATCTACACTGAACCCAGAATTTTTACTCTTCACCTAGAAATATATTTTAAAAGGAGTATGAGATGATTAAAAAAATAAATCTTTCTGGATAAGCATATTGGCATTCAAGTCAGAAATTGTATTGCTGTGATCAGCTGTATATTGAAAGAAAACATGTCAGAATTTGCAAAGTTTTTCTAGACTTTGATATAAAATGCTGAAGAATTAATTACTACCTCATATTAATTAAGATAACAATGCAAAGCCCTTCATTAAAAGCATAGGAAAAGTTCTTCCTAGGTCCTTGGAGAGAATATTATATGCAAGCCCTGTTGTGTGGGTTGCAAGGTGTCACTGGAATTTATATGCATTACTTGTCTAATTGCAGTAAATGTAGCATGTCCAGATAGGTTTAAAAGTTGGATGGCTGTTTGTTACTTGCTGGAAATCACTTGAAACCTTGCTACTCAGAGGCAGCTGTTCACAGGTCCTTCACCTCTCCCCAGAGATAGGTGGAAGACTCTGTTGTTGGACCCTGTCTTTTATGGCAGAAGCAGTAAACATGACAGGTTGTTTGGGAGCCATCTGTTTTAAAATGGTTGCTGCTTTGTATGCAGTAATGAACTTGAGATCAGTTTTCTGTCTGTCTTCATAGTAACAGCCTTGTTTGGTGTCACAACAGGTGGAAGTTGATGGGATGAAACTAAATGTGACCAGCGAGTGGAACCTGGCTTCACCCTTGTTGTCTGTCACCATTGATGGCGCTCAGAGGACTATACAGGTAATCTCACCAATGCATCATTTGTAGAGCTGAGATAACCAGAAATCTCAGGGCATAAAAATAATACTGAAATGTGGGGTCTAAACTTGCTGCATCATAAAAATTATGTGATGTTTCAAGTAGCACAATGTTTCTACTTTGAGACAAATTCACTCCACTGACGCTCTGGATGCATTCGAAGGTACTTACTGAGAGTTTTGAATATCTTTCTTTTAAAGAAAGTTCCTTGTAGACAGAAGTTTACCCCAGCTTATAGGATCTCTTTACTGAATGGCTTGTGAGGAGACATTGTTTCTTAATCACTTAAGAAATAAAAAACAGATTACTGAAAAAAACCTGACCAAATGAAACCAAAAATATCCCAACCCACAACAAAAACCAACGCAGGGTCATGGAGTAAAATTAGTCTCTTCCTTATGTTTGGATTGCGTGCTTTATCCACTTTTGGGCCTTTTCAGTTTGAAAGTCACAGGACAGTGCACCTCCCACCTAACATGTTTTTTTTATGGTTTTATGAAATATGAGTAGTTCCATGACTTGGGAAAAATGTAGAAAACATTCCAAACTTCTGTAGCTCTAAGAAAAGAGGACTAAAAACATTGAAGTAGTTGTATATTCTTTTCTTCTGACCACTTATGTGTTTGAAACCAACTCCAAACACCAGACTTGGCTTTTAACTGCCTTGTAAATGTTCTGAATGTAACACCAGCCAGGATTTATGTATTTGTTGATGAATCATAGAATCATAGAATCGATTGGGTTGGAAAAGACCTCCGAGATCGAGTCCAACCCTTGGTCCAAATCCAGTCCATTTACTAGATCATGGCACTCAGTGCCACGTCCAATCTGCATTTAAAAATCTCCAGGGATGGTGAATCCACCACCTCTCTGGGCAGCCCATTCCAATGCCTGATTACTCTCTCTGTAAAGAATTTTCTCCTGATATCCAACTTAAATTTCCCCTGGCGGAGCTTAAGCCCGTGCCCCCTTGTCCTATTGCTGAGTGCCTGAGAGAAGAGACCAACCCCCACCTGGCTAGAACTTCCCTTCAGGTAGTTATAGACGGTGATGAGGTCACCTCTGAGCCTTCTCTTCTCCAGGCTAAACAACCCCAGCTCCCTCAGCCTCTCCCCATAGGACTTGTGCTCCAGTCCCTTCACCAGCCTTGTTGCTCTTCTCTGGACCCGCTCCAGCACCTCAATATCCTTTCTGAACTGAGGGGCCCAGAACTGAACACAATACTCAAGGTGTGGCCTCACCAACGCAGAGTACAGGGGAAGGATCACTTCCCTGCTCCTGCTGGCCACGCTATTTTTGATACAGGACAAGATCCCATTGGCCTTCTTGGCCACCTGGGCACACTTGCTGGCTCATGTTGAGCTTCCTGTCAATTAGTACCCCCAGGTCCCTTTCTACTTGGCTGCTTTCCAGCCACTCTGTCCCCAGCCTGTAGTGCTGCATGGGGGTTGTTGTGGCCAAAGTGCAGGACCCGGCACTTGGCTTTATTGAACTTTATCCCATTGGAATCAGCCCATCTCTCAAGTCTATCTATTTATTTAGAAATATCTATTGATCCTGTCAATAGTGAAAAAATCAAAACTTATTGAAAGAATTTTTCTACATACAACAGTATCTATTTTTTATACATTTATCAGTGATACAGTGGTCAGATTTCTGCTAATTTACAGTGAAATGAGTGAATTTCATTTTTCATTTCCACCCCTGGTAAATTACCCAACTGGAAAAATACTATTTTTGCTTTGATTGAATTTAAAAGATGGTAACTTTAAAATAAAAAAATTATTGTATCTTTCAAGATTAGTATTGCCTGAGAGTGAAATTTTCATTATGTGCCCAAGTACATTGTGGACATAAGTTTTGTAGATTTCCTGGAAAGTTAATGCCAACTTCAAGGCTTATGTATATGTAAAGTAATTTTCTATTTTTAGGTGTGGGTGGTTTTTTTTAATAGCTCAATACTGATCCATTTTAGTGCTATTTTATAAAGTACATTCATAATATTGAATAGGAAATTATACTGATGTACAAATATATAATATCTGTCTAGTTGAAAAGCATTATAGTTAGAATGTATAACTGTATTCACAAGGCCTCATTGCAAACCATATTACTGTATGAGTGGATATATAACTAATAGTAGTAACGTCATTTAAATAAAAGTGTAATAGTTGAATTGGCACATAAAACTAGTTTCAAAATTAATGATCGTGAGATCAGAACATGCTTTCTTCTAGGAGCTGAGCCAGCAATAGTGTTACTTGCACTCCCTGAGTACGACCAAACTGTATGAAATATTGCAGATCTAGCCACAGCAACACTCAATGAGCTGACTGCATGGTATCTAGCCAACAGAATGTGGAATAAGCACATATGTTGTTTCTTTCTCATAGTTTATCTGTCTTTGCTTTTAGCAAAGAAACTCAGTAACTTGAGAAGTTATTAATCTTTTAGTGTATATATGTAAATTTATGGGAACCTTAAACTTGACCTCTGATATCTGCTCACTGGAATCAGAATTGGTTTTTTGGTTATATATTTCTGTAGACTCACCCCTCTGCAAGAACCAAATTAGGCAAGTATATTCCAGTAGGTCAATTTGTCTCCAAAAGCAATTGACCCTTGAGTCTTGAAGTATCTTCTTTCAGCAAAACTTAGCCCTAGAGCCATTTTAAGCAACAAATATGGATGAATCGAATAATTCCAGCTGTGCTTTATTAATTTTCAGCCAATCTAATTTTTCTTCATAGTTGGTTTCATTCTTCTAAATTTGCTCAACTAAATACAATCTTTGTGAACATTATATTTCTTTGAAGCTTTGATTTATGCACCTTTTGCTCGATCCTGCAGTCTGGCTGCAATTCAACAAAGCACTTAGGCAAAGAAGTAGGAAATAAATAATTTTAAAATGTTTTGGTTTGAAATGTATTTATGTAAATTATAGTCTAGACATTCAAATTGTTACATATCTGTTGCATTTAAAAATAAGTAATTAAGCATGCTTCTGTATTTTCACTCCTCTGCTAAAGGCTCAATGAGTATTAGAGCAAAGCAGAGCACCGACCATGCTGCAGAGTTATAAAGGGTCTATGAGTTTAAAACTCAGGTTTTCTAGGACAATTTCTAGAGTATGGGACCTGGGAATACATCTGAGTGCCTGAGGAGAAGTATATGCCCTGGTCACAGTCTGTCTAGGGCATACCAGGGCACAACAAGGATGTGTGGCAGCCTCCCCCCCTCCCGCTTTTGTTTCCTTTGCGAGGAAGCCCATCTGTGTGCAGCAGATGGGCACTGCGGAGTGCCTGGCCAGGTCCCCAGATGATAGAGGGACCAGAACCCTGGGGTACACTGCAGGTCCGTTTGGCTGCAGCATAAGGGCTCTGAAATCTTTGTGCTGCCTTGGATTACTGTGAAATCCATATATATATATATACAAAGTGATGAACTGATGAAAACTTGGGATCATTTGAGCAAGAGATTTCTGAGATATAGTCTCCAGAGATGGGGGTATGGGCAGACTCCGTGGCATTTCTTGTTGTACACAGATTCCATCGTGGATTTTTTGTAACTGGTTTTAGTAGTTCCTCAGCAAATCCCAGTTTCTCAGCATTTTCTTTACTTGTGACTAGACTCTACCTCTCATCTGGGGAGGCTGAATTTAACACATTGTGTAGTGTGGAATTTTGTTCAAGAAGCAAATTAAATTTTTGCCTGCAGAAATACTTTACCAAAATGGTTTCCCCTGCTTGTTTCTAAAGATGTTAGTGGCTTAGAGTTTGACTTACACGTAGCTGTTGTAAATTTGGACTCTGCCTTTGCTGAAAATCAGAGAACCCTAGGAATATAGTTACAATATATCTTCTTTAGGATTCAGATTTGAAGGGATTAGGTTTTATTTAATTGAAAATACAAATTTAAAATACATTTATATATAAACCATGATTTGAATAGGATATAACCTTTCAGGCAATATTTAGAGTAAAAATAAATGAATAAGTGAGGGGCTTAATGATTCCTGAGTTGTGGAAAAGAAACATTAGAACTCTGGTAGAAACTGGAAGGGAGAGAGTGGTGGTTCAGAATGGTATCGTGGAAAGTAATGACAAGTGGAACAAAAGCAGCAGGCATTATTTTAGGACAATGAGGGCACTTTTGCCCCTCTATCTCTTCTCCCATATACAAGTAAGCTAGATTTTGGTGAGCCCTGCACCTGCAGAAGTTGTCTATGGCCTCTTCTCTCTCCCTGGGCATATGAACTGGGGAGCAGGCAGAAGGAAGGAATAAACTGTCTTTTCCATAGAATTTGAACCTCTTCTTTTATTCCTCATGGGAACAATAATCCAAGGGGGTCACAAGATAAATCAAGAACACCATGAAGTCCAGAGACAGGCTTGAACCTAGCTGCAACTCTGTCCTTATTACAGTCAAGTTGCAAGTAGGTGCCTTCTACTGGGACATTGTGCAGGAAAATCAGATATTTGCAGAGTGAGCAGGTTGCTCAAGGAAAAAAATGAATGTAAGAGATCCTCAAACCCTCTTTGCTCTGCCACTGCTTTTGTTTGGGCAAGTTCTCAAAAACCACCCCACCGACCATTCAAATTCTGAGACTGCTCTTTGACAATGCCACATGGACAAAGTTTACAACTGCTTAGTGCTGTTAAATGTTCTCCTTTCTTGATTGCATCATCAAACAGTCAACCCATCCTTATATGCCATTTATTTGCAGACAGTTCCCTGTAGGAAAAGGATGCTGAGTCAGTCATAGATAGTTTGGTCTTAATTATTTGTCACGATCTTTGCCAACACTCTTTTATTTCCTCATTCTTTCATATGCACTCAGCCTTTTCAGTATCATATTGGCCATGCTGGTTTCACAGCTCTACTAGCTTGCTGTCATGAAACCTTCTACCTTCTAAAAGTAGTGCAGGTGTTCTGCCTGGACCCCAGAAAATGTTTGGTGGCTTTTGGCGCCTTCAGCAAAG